ATCGTACATCGCTGTCGTAGTTCTACTTTCTTTGCCGATAGTACTTTTGGGAACTTAATTGTAAGATACTCTGCAGTTTTCTAATTCGTCGTTCTAACGTTTTACGTGCTAATCGACGCGCGATTAGCAAACCATAAAAATTACCCAACTTCTTGTCCGACGTGAAAGCACGTTTTTCGACTAATATTGTTTACACACTAAAATTTCTCATAGAGCAACCTTGCTTAATTATGGAGAGGATGTGTTTTTGCAGAATTGGTTAAAAAGCAAATTTGATAATTTAGAAGAATGTAGCGCAATAAAAAATAAGATTTTGAAAGGTATAAAATGTTCTGGAAGAAGTAATTGAAAATAAGAACGAGAAGTCTTCATTACTAAAGTAATTGAAGATAAGAACGAGAAGTTTTCATTATTAAAATCTTCAAATTCGGGAAAATAATTAATACGCGTATCCTTTTAAGAGAAATATTTTTTACATAAATCTGATAAATTATATTTGATTTTCATCAATTTCAGGTTTTGTGCATATTTACATTTAGATTAAATTATACATGGATATCAGTATTGCATAGATTGAATATTAATTGGCAATTGATACTCAATGAAAATGAATTTTAGATAATATTTGAAGGATAACGCAAGAAAGTGTCGTTATCGTTAACTGAAAGTAATTATTTGCAATTCTCAAGTGTTTTAATGTCCTCGATTTGGATAAAAGCAACGGTGCGTTACCACTATTTCGACACACTGCAGTCGGAGAGATCTTAGCCTTGACTAGAGTAAAATATCTTCGAAGCTTTGCACAGACGTATTGTGTCACACACATGAAATCATTCGTTAACCTTTCGTGTAAACGCGAAATATGCTTCTTTCTTCATTTTTTGCATGAAGATTATTATTAATCTCGGTGGAAACTAACGATGAAGAACTTAATTAAGTACGATTACTTTATCGTCTCTTCATCTTAGGTCTAACAAGGCAATAAAAATCTCAAGAATTCTATTAAGACTAACGAGCTCAAAGAAAGTACGTGTTTAAGTACTGAGAAGTACCTATTTAAAACTTTTTTTTCATACTAATATTGAACTCTTAAAGATTTTATATAATTGAAAACTATTAATTTTCTGATAGAATGTACATATTGACAGTAAACTGAGATAAATTGTTTTTATCAAAGGTATTTAGGTAAGTCTTGATCAATTTGTTGTAGCATTTTATTGTAAATTATTATAAAGTTGTAATTTTTATTTCTTATTGTCTTTACATGAAAAACGTTTTAATTTATTAGTTTAAAATAATTATAAAGAAAAACGAATAATCTGTGTCTTAAAGAGATATAAAATGTTGCAGCAATATTTCAAGAATCAATAATCATGGGACATGTTCTAATGAAATTTAAAAAAAAAACAAGGAAAAAAAATAAAAACAGTAAATTCTGATTCTTGCGGAACAAATTGATATTCACTATGCGTTTTCGATTAGTATAACGCAATTTACATTATGCGATTTTCTTGTAGTCGCAGTTAAGGTCGATTGTTCCTAATTTTAAGCGGAAACTATGCTATCACCGTGAAGCACACATTTTTGAGTAGAAAAAAATCGGAAAATTGTCAATATCCGTTAGAATAAGTAACGTTGATATTCGTTACGTAGCATGCATTGTCACACATTGGAAAATGATAATCTCGAATTATTTCAATCTGTCAATATCATCGGCATACATTTAACTATATCTTTAAACTTTCGCCGTTCCACTCTTCTTCGTTTATTTCATGGTGTATAATTGTTAATTGTTACGTGTATATATTAATGAATGATTCTGCAATCCTTCAGTACACTGAAAAAAAGATTGGCTACTGCAGCAAATTAGATGGTAAAATATGGCATGGTATTTTTAATTGGCTACAGCAGCCAATTTTTGGTTGCGTTAGCCTATCTGTAATGTCAGTATAGAATTTCGATAGATTAACACAACCAAAAATTGATTGCTGCAACCAATTAAAAATGCTATGCCATATTTTACCATCTAATTTGTTGCAGCAGCCAATCTTTTTTTTCAGTGTAGGGACGATAATTACACTCTTAATTGAATAATTATACTGTTAATTGAAGAATTAGATTTGTATCAGTATTATTTTACTAACATTTCCGATATTATTTCATATATCACTTCGCACTTACAATTAGATCATAAAAGTACAAAAACATACAAAACCGATATTAATATTATTCCTATATTTTCATATTATCAAGTCTAACTAATCAAATTCAGAATTACACGAGTTTGAAGTCATTTGCTTGGAGACATTGACTGAACTATTCGTAAGTCTACGCATGTTTACGCGCTCTTGATGTCGCTTCGAAAGGGTCCGTTTTTCTCGGATACACGAAATCACGTCATGTCTGTTAAGAAACTGGCTCGAAAACGGCCCAGCGACCTTGTGCCGAATATTACAGCGTGTTTCGAACGGTTGTGTAATGTAACGCATTTCATGTGTTTGGACATATACGTGGAGGTTATATTAAGGTAGGTAGTTGATGCGAAGCAAATGCGTGAATACACAGGTAGCCGATATAATTTCTGTCAAGTGTGTGAAATTTTTATCTAAGAATTTCTCTCTCCTCCCCTCTCTCTCTGTCTCCTTTTCTTTTCATTTATGTCGAAATACATGTAGATATTAACGGTAGAATTAGAATTAATCATTTGAATTGAGGCAATAGCAATATTTCTAGTTCTATCGCGGTTAACAAATGTACGGATGTGCTTTGCGATGCAACGTCTCGATTGTGAAATGCAGGTGAATCGCTATTTACAAACTTTCAAAAATTCATATTTACGTATATTCTACTAACAAATTACGATTTGCTACACATTAATAATCTTTAATTATTTTATATTTTTAAAAATACATCTTTTAAGAGTTAAAAATTTTTAGTATAGCTTTAGGTCTTCAATACATGTATAAAATTAATTTAAAAATGCGTACAAAAATTTAATAACTTTACGAAAGATTAATTAAATTTAATTTACTTGCTCAAGAAGCTCAATATGCTTTACTTTTTTATACTTGTAAAAATTTCTTATAAAAATTGTTAAAAATATTCTGAAAATTATGATCACGCCTTTCTTATTGTGAAATATCACTATACGAAATATATTACATACAATACGTTATAAATATTGCACAATTAAAAATTTCACAAGATGCAATCAAAGATTCACTTTCGAAAGAGTAATAAATGTGACGGCAGTTCGAATATTAATGTCAAAATACTAATGTAATTTTCTCAAAAATCTTATTAAAGTATATATAAAAATATGCCTCATTGAAAAAACTTATTTACTTACTTTAATGATAGTTCCAAGCAGTACACAATATAGATGGTACATAAATACAAAGTTATTTTCCCGAAAACTTTTTGCTAATAAAAACTTACTAATAAAATGATTTTGATTTTATATTGAATAAATTAATTTCCGCATGAAATAACATAAATGATAATAATAGTTTGTGTTGCATACATGTATATGTATATTAGGTTGGAACAATAGTTTGTTACTCTACTTTATTTATATCATGTCTACATGCTTCAAAAAAATTTGTAATTATATTATTCGATAGTTTCAGCTTCAAAGTTTCAGCTGTAAGAATCGGTTTTTTTTTAATTGGAGTACGATGATTTTTAACAAAGTTATGAGCAATCATAGACAGAATGCTCCTTTTATTTAATTACAGTAATAAAAAATTTTAGGAATATTTTTAAAGAACGATTTTGTAGGAAAAACTTTAAGCTTTTACGTTAGAAAGTCGAAAAAGTTCACAAGTATTTTTGGGGCATGTGATAGGTCCACAAAATAAAAAAAAATTTTCCATTTTGTTCAGATCGTAGTTTTCTTTAAGTAAAAATTCTATATGTAAAACTCATAGTAATTCAAACGATAATATTTTTTTAAAAGTACAGATTTTATAAACTTTAAAACCTTTTTTAAATTGAAATTTCATGAATTTAGAAATTCATGGTGCTATAAACTATAACTTTCAAATCAATATCATATATAAACGTATTTAAAAAAATATAGTATATTTTTTATAAAATTATTAATAGACATATTAATTTTATACATTAATGATTAAGTATCAATAAATTTTTAATAAATTAATATTACACATAACTTATAATTTTAATATACACGTGTCTTGAAAAAAAAGAAACAGTTTTAATTGCAAAAAAATTCAAAATTAGGAGGCTATTAAAATTTAAATTTATGAATGTAAGTAGACCTGTATATATAAATAGTGCGACCAACGTTAAAAATGCGTCGTGGACTTTAACCGTGTTTTATTACATATTAATAAGTTTACTTGATATTTACTAATTCAAATTACCCACATCGTGACTCTTTTATTTAATTACGGGTATTGCATTATGAAAAAATTTTATAGGTAATTTTTCTAACATTATAGTTTTTATGTCAATTAAAAGTTGATTTTAACCTTGATCCTTGTATGTAGGACCCTTTGTAGGACACTAGCGTACTGCTTTACTACTTCAAGTATTTGATATGTGAGTAGTCAAAAGGGATCAACTTGCACTACACGGATAGTGGTAAAATATTTTCATCACTTGAAAAAACATAAAACAAGAAAAAATATCCATTTTCTTCCTAATAAAAAGATTCGTCTTTACATTTCTTTAAAAATATGATAGAGTAGTCTCGCATCATACAATTATTATTCTGTTGAGCTGTTCTCATCTTTTGCCTCCTAAATGTAATCTTTCTTGAAGGGTTGATCCGATTAATGTGAGAATATAATTCGCGCACACGCGACTTTTTATGACGCAAATTTTTATGGCTCGCACACGCCAATCCGTTTAAGGAATCGGCCCGATTTCTCGCCGCGGAAATTCGTTTTGGGTCGCTCTCCAGCGACCATTCGCGCTCGGTCAAACGTTCCGCTCTCCACCCCAAAGTTTTCGAAATATCTTACAACGCTTACCTTCCACTCACGCTCCACCGGGATCAGAAAAAGGCCGACACTGTGCACTTCACCACTCCTGCTCTTAGCTACGTCGTCACCGAAACCACCGATCCCTGCGTGATTCAGCGGCGCTGCATCAAACCGAGCTACCCATCAAGGATTTGGACTATCCGAGATTCCGTCCACTTGACTCTTCGCACTATATTTCCCTATACCAGCGTCCAATGCTGGACGCTGTCGTTGATCGACAGGTGAACACAACGGGATTCGGGAACACCGATCACGAGGAAATTCCCCTTCTTCCGGGAGACGAAGGGTTGCAAGGACTTCGAAGGGAGGCTCTCGTCACTGTGCACGCGGTCCTTCTCTCGCGGGGTCAGGATCAGCGAGGCACACTTGCGTATGAGTGCTACATATGTCCCCGCGATATCGCATATGCGTCGTGT